AAAATTCCCATAAAATTTAGTTTCAACAAGAATTTAAAATTTTTAAAAAACAATTTAATTATTCTCAAAATATTTTAAAAAAATTCTATATAAGAATTAAATTACTAGCTCAATACAATTTTTGAATATATTCGTCAAAAGAATTAAAATAATTCTATTATTTTCGAAAAGTAATTAAAATTCTTATGATGAATTCAATTATTTTAAATATACTTAATTTTAATAAAATTCTTTAAAGAAATTCAATTATTTTCGAAACAACTTTAATTGAATTTTTCGAAAAAATTTCATGATTTTTAAATATTTCTATAAAATTCTTCATAAACAATTTAATTATTTCTTAAAATTTTAATAAATTCTTCGCAAGAAATCACTTATTTTCAATACAATTTTAATAAAATTCTTCTTCATAAAATTCAATTGCTTTCGAAATTTTCAATTAAAATTATTGAAGAAACTTTATAAGTTTAAAAAAAAATTCAAAGAAATTTTTCAAAAAAATTTAATTAGGATTTTTAAAAATATTAATAAAATTCTTTGCGAGAATTTAGTTATTTTTCTAAATAAAGAAATTCTTTGAAGGAATATTCTATTATTATCAAATTTTTTTAAAAAATTCTTTGCAACAATTCGAAGATTTTCAATACATTAATTTTAAAATTGAAAATATTTGAAAAGAAAAATTAAAAAAAGATTAAGTAACCAAAATGTAAACAACAATTAAATTCAAACTGCGAATAGGTTACCGAAACATGTACTTTTTTATTATTAATTTATAAATAAGGGAAGTGTTCCGGTTGTGGGCACCCTTTTGATTTTGCCTCATAACATTTGTCCATGTGCATATTATACAAATATATGTGTACGAATTTAAAGCTAGAGGTCTAAGGTGACTGTCAGTGAAGGAATTAAATTGACTCCTTTAAATAAAAAAGTTTTATTAGAAATTTAGTGAAATGGGAATTTTTTGACAAAAAAAATTTTGTACCCGGTTGTGGGCACCCTTGAAAAATCCGCTAAAAATGGAAAAATATTAAAGGAAACCAACACAAATAAAGAAGAAATGAAAGTTTCTTTATTTTAAGAAAATTTGCCGGGATAAAGAACAAAAATGATGACACGTTTTCACACTATGCTCATCGCTAACAAAAGCATAATGCTTCATGTGAAGTAGCTAGTACGCATACCATACCGCACTTCTAATGCACTGAACGACTATATTCATCGCATTTAATGGAGTTTGCGGCTGTCACTTTCCTTGGCAGAAAGTTTAGATAGATGAGACAGTAGTCCTCATCATTGTCAGATGGTAGAGCCTCCTTAACATAAAGGTGCCCACAACCGGGAATGACAGTCATTTTTTAAAAAGACCAACACATTTTGTGATGCAGGATTTTGGTTAAACACGAAGGTAAATCACAAAATATAATGACAACACTGCAAAAAAAAATTAAACCCTTCTTTTCTGAACGAATCTACACCCATATGTTGCTCTTCGAAAACAATACAAAATTACTTTTTTATTTATTTAATGCAAATTTTCTTTATTATGCTCACAGCTATTACACAAATGCATATATTTGTTTCGTTATCAATACGAAAAGTCCGTATTGTCAACGAACACGACTTGCAATACTTAGATCAGTAAAGTCTGCTTGCCGTCGAAGTTTACGTAGGGGTGCCCACAACCGGAGGGTGCCCACAACCGGCGCACTTCCCCTATTATTTTTAACTGAAATGTTTTGACATTTTTTTTAAATAATAAAAATATTAATTTATGAATGTTTAATGGTTATTATTATTAAACAATTTATTTATTTGCTGTAGTGTATTAGTGTCAATTAATGCTTTATTGAATCACTCAACAAGTCACTGAAAATAGAGCGTCTGTGTTCAGTTAGGTTCCGTAGCATAGTGGTTAGGGCGTTAGTTTCGTAGTCCGTAGTTCGTAGGTCGTAGGTTCAAGTCTCGCGTGCGTTAGATTTTATTTATTTCATAGGTTTGCGTTTATTCCGATTTTTCTGTATTGTATAGGTATAAGTATGCAATTTAATGATTATATACACCGTTAAATAATTTAATTAACAAATATTAAATTAAAATTTTTTTTTATATATAAATGGATATGTATTAATCCCCACATATATACTAACATTATTTATGAATTCGCTATTGGTCACGATTAAATAAAAAAAAAAAAGTAAAAATCATTAAATAATAATGCCATTTATTAATAATTAAAGTTATTATAAAAATTAGTTAAAAATGATCTCAAATATGCTATGAGCAGTTTTTCCAGGGTTTTTGGAGAGGAAAGAATTCTGTAAGTAAGGGTCAAGCAGTATTTAATAAGGTTCTAGGAACACCTGCTTTCCCCCTTTTACCATCTAAATTTGTCGCTAACCAGGGGTTTGCAGGAGGTAATCAGAGTTATCTTGCAATGCAAATAAACTCTGCTTTCATCCTATTACATCCTTACAAACTCTCAGTTTTAAGGAGGTAAGCAGGTCTAAAAGTTCGACTCGGGTAGTTGTAAATTTAAAAAGTTTTAAAAGGTTTTTTTTAATTGAAACTGTTTTATTCTAATATAAGAGCCACTGATTCAAATATTATTATTTTACTAATTAAATAGTTAATAATATCTAATTATATTACTTAAATTTACTTTTAGTTTAGGTCAAAATAATTGAAATTTTTGGTAACTAATTCAATTAGTGAAATTTGACTATTTTTGTTTTTGTTTATTTATACTAATAATTAGTTATTTTTAACTAATTCAGAATTAGAGAGTAGATGACAAATGTAGGTCAACAAACAATAGAAAATTAAAGATAGAAGAGAGTGAGGCAAGATGGGGTACCGGCCTTATTTAACAAACCAATCGCGATTGTATTTTGTATTTTACATAATACTGCACCGAGACGATAGTTTCTTATTTACAAAACCTAAAAGCCATGAGAACAAATCTTTTATCTGTTGTACTAAAAAAACTGTTTTCGACGCTTTTTTCTCTTTTTTTAGTAGGTGTTTATTATTTAATAATAACATTTAATGAACTATATAAAATTTTTTCTAACTGGCAAGGGTTACAGAAGAAAGGAAGCATATGTTTTTTTTCTTTATTGAATCGTAAATTGTAGTAATTAATCGTTTTATTCAATTTCGTTCTGTCTGCGGCCAATGGGATCACTGCAGTTGTGCTGGTGTCGATGACGAAGATGAAACCTTTACTTGTAAAATTTGTCAACAGAAATAGGTTTCCTTTTTAGTACCCCATCTTACTCCTTAGGGTACCTTATCTTGCCCGCTGGTGGGGCAAGATGGGGAGATTTGCAATTATCTCCATATTATTAATTTTATGCTTTTTTAAGAAACAGATGGCCTTTGTACGCCTTTATTACGAAAGACTGATTCCCAAAGATGGTTATTAAATACACTGAAGAAAAGTGCTGTTGAATCAAATAGCTCCATGCTATTGAATTTCCCGTCATTGATTCAATGACACATTTATTAATCGAAAAGTATATTGCTTAAAACGAAAAAATGAAACTGTTTAAATTAAAAGTACGGTACTGTAGAATTAATGATATTGTGCAAATTGTTTCTATAGTTCATCTATATATAGCAACAGAATAATTTATTGCTTCTTTGACATTATTCATTTGAAGCATCTAATAGATAAATTTGAAGAAAATGCGTGTAAATTTAAATCAAATGAAAAATTGTTTGCTCCAAAGAAGCGCGCTCTGAAAACGAAAGCATGTGCTTTCGTTTCAATGAGTGGTGCTATTGCGGACTGCCTATAGCATATGCTATAAAAATAAGAACACTATGTATTTGAGACATTGACAGGTACTAAATTTATTGAAATACTTACCCACATATATTTATATGTTTATTAAACCTGTCGTTTTTGAGATTCCAATATAAAAAAGTATTATTTAAATTCTTTTAATTAATTAATGACTAGTTAAATATAAATTCCCTATATAAATTTCCTTATATACGCGAAAAATCTCGAGCACGGTATTTAACCACAAAGTAAGTGCCCAATGTTGAGAAGCGGATTATTTCATTGCAGCGCGGCGGTTCTCGTCTATCACGGAAGTTAAGCGTCGTTGGTCGCGGTTGCTAAGTGGATGGGTGACCGCTTGGGAATAGCCGCATTTTTCTGACTAAAAAAGATAAGTGTGTTTGAATGTGTATGTGTGTGTGTTTAGCCGTTGGAAAAAATGAAAAAAAATAATAAAAATGTGTATGTTTGTGTGTAAAATTGAAAAAAAGATGTGTATAAGAAGTGTTGTGTTAAAGGTGTGAGAATTAATTATAGTATATAAAAAACATGTGAACAAAAATTCCCTTTTTTCAATTTATCGTTGGTATATATTTAACCACATAAAAGAATTGAATTAACAGTATGGTGTTATTCAATCGATAGCAACAACTAAAAAAATTAAAAGTACAATTTTTTGAATCATAAAAATGATGCTTTTAAATTTAAAAGTTATAGTCATTGACTCAAAAGCATATACTGTTAAATTAAAAAATTTTGTTTATTGATTCAAAAGGATTCACCTTCGAATTAACATAGTATGCTGTCAATTTGAGAAATATGCTTTTGTTTCAAAGAAAGTGATACTATCGAATCATTAGAATCGGTGCTTTCAAAACAACAGCATATACGTTAGGCAGCCCGTTATGACACTATTCAATGAATCAAACCCATATGTCATTGATTCAACAGCATTTTTTCTCCGTGTAAAATAATAAAATATATATTCGATAATTTTCGTTTTTTTGCGCTTTAAACCTTAAGTACTCCGTCTTGCCCCACTCTCCCCTAATAAGAACATAAATGCAGTTTTATAAAAGTATAAAAAGAAAAATTAAAAACTTAAATTCTAGATAGAGATAGAGTTAACGGAAGTAAATTATATTTTAAAGAAAATATCAAGTCAACAAAGACGAAAAATATAACATTATTTTTCTTCCTATTTTAGGAGCTTGAGCTAAGGATAGAGACGCAAAAGCAAACGCTGCAAGCTCGGGACGAAAGCATCAAGAAGCTCCTCGAAATGCTGCAAAACAAGGGAATGGGTAAGCTTCTGATCTTTATTCACTTTTCAATATTCGTTTATAAATGTATAAACATAGTTTTTTTCAATGTGCCTCTATTATCACTATGTACATATAAAATAACAGTATGTATAGTATTACAAACAGAATACTGGAAAAGGCTTCGTCCATATATTACGTAACGCTTTTTGGGGGAGGGGGGGGGGGTCAAGCTATTTGTTACGATAAGCCAAAAAAATGGCGCTAATATATGTAACAGTGTGTGACATGGGGGAAGAGGGGGTAAAATTTTTCAAAAATTAGCGTTAAGTAATATATGGACGAAGCCAAACCTCTCGATAAAGGGGTTCTTTATTCGGATACATAAAGGAATTATTCTAACATTTTTTGTATAATGAATTATAAATATAGGGGAGAGTGGGGCAAACCGGACCCCCTAACGGTTTTCCCAGAGATACATATACTTTATCTTTTATTGTTTAGTTGCTGTGTTAACTTTAATAAAATTTGCAAACGGTCTGGTTTGCCCCACCCCCTGGGGTAAACTGGACCGTTTGGTTTTTTATTTATAATATTGCATTTACATAATCTACAATAATAAAAAACATAAAGAATAATGTAAACAATGGTTGTAGTAATGAAAATAATAATACGGGATTGAATTTTAATTAATTAAATATTTTTTTTAATAAAAAAATAAAAATGTTTGAAATTATCAGAGAAACAATATTAAAGGGTCCAATTCTCATTGGAAGACAATTATTTTTCATTGTAAGTAAATATTTTAATGAAAGAAACATTTTATTTAAAAATAATTTTTATGAAACTTTAATTCAATGGAAATATCCTATGGCCGGTTTGCCCCACCGAAAACGGTCCGGTTTGCCCCATAGGCCCATTTTGAGAATAAATGTTTGTCAAAAAGAAACGCTTTGCAAATTCATCAAAGTTTTTGGTGGTAAATATTCCTGAGGTGTGTACCTTCAAAACCTAAGACCTAATATTTGGAAAAATTACACAATTTTCTCAGAATTTCCTTAAGAAAAAATTCGTAAAAGTGTAGAAAAAAACTATAAAAAAACTTTTGCTCCCTTCGTCGCACTAACGCAAGCTAAAACTGTCAGATTGAAAAAATAAGGTATACTAAACATGGTTGTTTTAAATTTGTAAAAAACACTTTTTCCAATTTCGCCATTTCGGAAATATTGAGAGGGGTCCGGTTTACCCACCGGTCCGGTTTGCCCCACTCTCCCCTAATTATGTTCAACAACTAAATGTATAATGTGAATCTGTTTCTATACGATCAAGTCTAGCAATTTTTCAATAATTAATAAGATCTAGACTTCAATTAATGTTGGGAATAAATAATTCTTCATCAGAATTAACGTCAATAGTAATAATTTATTACATTACAATAAGAAAATTAGAGGAAAAAAGTCAACTGTATAAATAATTGATAATCTAATTCCTTTTATTTGACAATCGATATATGCCGTTATGTTAGTCATTATTTAATGTCAACTAGTCAGATTAATAAAATTTATAAATTAATAAAATATAGTAACACTTTAATTAAAAAATAATAATACAGTGGTATAAAAAATAATTTTTGTTCAGAAAAAATTATTTGACGTTTAATCAGAAATAATTTCTTTATATTATAAAAAAGAATAATAAGATAATAAAAAATAAAAATAATGATAACACAGGCACACAAAAAAATAAAAAAGTCAAAACCCAGAGGTTACACCCCCCTTTCCCCATGTTTTTGGGGTCGCTGAAACCGAATATGACCATGAAAATTTTTTTCCATCGGCCATTTTCCCGCTACCACCCCCTTACACCTGCTCCCGGGGGTTGGAATTTCAGTTTTTAAAAAAGTGGAGTAGGGTGTCAATTCCTATGTTTTTTGGGTCGCTAAAACCAAAAAAGACTACCAAAAACAAATTCTTCCCTCCATTAACCCCCTACAACCCTCTTAACACCCGAAAGGTGGGTGGTCGAAATTCGAATTTTCACGAAAAGTCGATTACGATGTCTAAACCTACGTTTTTTGGGTCGCTGAAACCAAAAAAGATTCCCTAAATCAAATCCTTTCCACCCCGATCCCCTACAACCCCCTGTAATAATTTTTTTCAAATAAAACGAACCGATTTTTGGGAGATTGAAAATTAAATATTAATTATCAAAAATTATTGCAGGGGGTTGTAGGATGTTGAGGGTGGAAAGGAAAGATTTTGGTAGTCTTTTTTGGTTTCGGCGACCCAAAAAACGTAGGTTTAGACACCGTAATCGACTTTTCGTGAAAATTCTAATTTCGACCCCCCACCTATCGGGTGTTAAGGGGGTTGTAGGGGATTAAGGGAGGGAAGAATTTGTTTTTGGTAGTCCTTTTTGGTTTTAGCGACCCAAAAAACATAGGAATAGACACCCTACTCCACTTTTTTTTAAACTGAAATTCCAGCCCCCGGGAGCAGGTGTAAGGGGGTGGTAGCGGGAAAATGGCCGATGAAAAAAAATTTTCATGGTCTTATTCGGTTTCAGCGACCCCAAAAACATGGGGATAGGGGGGTGTGACCTCTGGGTTTTGACTTTTTTATTTTTTTTGTGTGCCTGTGTAATTTACCCACTAATACAATACAAAAAAGGATTAGTGCCAATAATAATGTAATAAATGAATCAATAAATAATAACAGTAGAAACAATAAACTAAGTAATAAAATTTTCCCTAAAAACATGGAATATTTCATTCACATTCCTCGATTATTCCATTAAAATATTGGAAACATTCCATCTATATTTTAGAAGTATTAAAATATACCAATATATTGTCCTTTTGTGGTCGTTTTTATTTTCAATAATTTAATATCAAAGGACGTTACAAATTATTAATATTCAATAAATTATATATTATATTATAATATGTAATAGGAATATTTGGGAAGTATGAATAATCTCTAGAAATCATTAGTTAGAATTTTTAAATGATTGAATTTCATTTATTCGAATTTTCTTTTCGCAGAATTTCAATTTTTCGAATTTTTGTGTAATCGATTTTAATTTAACCCGAATATTCACATTAACAGAATTATAAATACTCGAATTTTTATTTATGAGAATTTTTATTTACAAGAACTCATCTTTTACATTATTTCTACTTAGTCTAATTTTGAAAAGACAGAATTTCCATTTCGGCGAATTTTCATTTGTCCAATTGTTTATTTTCATGAATTATCATTTGACAGAATTTTTAAAAGAACGAATATTCATTTGTGCGAATTTGCAAATGGCCGACATAACAACATGCCGAAAGATTTCGGCGCCAGTTTCAAAACTGACCAATTAGAAAATATTAAGAAAATTGTGATTGGTCAGTTTTGAAACTGGCGCCAAAATCTTTCGGCATGTTGTTATGTCATCCATTTGCAAATTCGCACAAATGAATATTCGTTCTTTTAAGAATTCTGTCAAATGATAATTCATGAAAATAAACATTTGGACAAATGAAGATTCGCCGAAATGGAAATTCTGTCTTTTCAAAATTAGACTAAGTAGAAATAATGTAAAAGAAGAGTTCTTATAAATAAAAATTAGTATAAATAAGAATTCATTTTAACCCCTTGGCTGTCAACGAGATTTCCACTGTTTGGGCCAAAAGTGTGTTAAAAAAATTTTTAATGGATTTTTATGAAACTTGGTATCCTAAGGTTTCTAGGGTCGCTGATTACGAATCTGACATCAGTTTTTTGAAATTCAAAATGGCGGATCCAAGATGGCGGAAATTTTTTCAAAATTCGTCGAATTTGCTTGAAACTTGTTACTCGGGGGTTTTAAGGGTCGCTGGTTACGAATCTAACATTAGTTTGCCAAAATTCAAAATGACGGATCCAATATGGCGGACAACGAAATAAAAAATTGATCAGATTGGCTTGAAACTGGATACTTGGGGATTTTCAGGGTCGCTGATTACGAATCTGAAATCAGTTTTTCAAAATTCAAAATATCTGGTTCAATATCGCGGAAAATTTTTTAAAATTTATTGAATTTGTTTGAAACTTGTTAATCTGACATTAGTATGATAATTTTTGGTGAAATCAAATTTTGTTAAATACCCTGAAAAACTAATGTCACATTCGTAATCAGCGACCCTTAAAACCTCCGAGTAACAAGTTTCAAGAAAATTCGACGAATTTTGAAAAAAAAAATTCCGCCATCTTGGATCCGCCATTTTGAATTTCGAAAAACTGATGTCAGATTCGTAATCAGCGACCCCAAAAACCCCCGAGTATTACGTTCCAAGTCAATCTGATCAATTTTTTTATTTTGTTGTCGGCCATATTGGATCCGCTATTTTAAATTTTGGAAAACAAATGTCATATTCGTAATCAGCGACCTCGAAAACCCCCGAGTAACCGGTTTCAGGAACATTTAAGAAGTTTTTAATCACCTTTTTTAAGTTGTGCATATATGCGTCATGAACCCGAGTCGAACTTTTAGACCTGCTTACCTCCTTAAAACTGAGGGTTTGTAAGGATGTAATAGGATGAAAGCAGAGTTTATTTGCATTGCAAGTTAACTCTGATTACCTCCTGCAAACCCCTGGTTAGCGACAAATTTAGATGGTAAAAGGGGGAAAGCAGGTGTTCCTAGAACCTTATTAAATACTGCTTGACCCTTACTTACAAAATTCTTTCCTCTCCAAAAACCCTGGAAAAACTGCTTATAGCATATTTGAGATCATTTTTAACTAATTTTTATAATAACTTTAATTATTAATAAATGGCATTATTATTTAATGATTTTTACTTTTTTTTTTAATTTAATCGTGACCAATAGCGAATTCATAAATAATGTTAGTATATATGTGGGGATTAATACATATCCATTTATATATAAAAAAAAATTTTTATTTAATATTTGTTAATTAAATTATTTAACGGTGTATATAATCATTAAATTGCATACTTATACCTATACAATACAGAAAAATCGGAATAAACGCAAACCTACGAAATAAATAA